GAGGTCTGCAGCAGAAGAAGCGAGGTGGGCAAAACATTTCAGCAGCATCCTCTCTGCTCTGTACGTGCAAGGCTTACCGCGTGTTGGACCACAAGGTTTTGAACTCGAAACTGATGTTGCTTGATGGCTGTGAGTGGAAGCACAGCCCGCTCCTTTGCAGGAAAGTGGGGGCTGAATGAAGACGAGGGGCGGAAGCTGCTCACCAACCCCATCACGAACGACAGCACTGGCATCATGAGCAGTGAGTGGCTGCTCGGAGGAACATCGTCAAAAGGAGGAATCACAACGTCCTGGTCCCCGGTTGGTTGGTGATTGGTTATTGTGATGAGGAAGGAGGCATCCACGTGTGCCTCCATTTTGCGCAGGATTCGACCCTAAGCAACACTATACACCCACACGCGTGTCCTCCTCTTCGCCCATGGCGGCCCTCGTGCCGCCCGGGTTGGCCGCGGGGGCCGCCGAGCCGCTCGGCGTGTCGTTCCATGCATCGAGGATATCCCTGGCGTCGTGGAGGCCCTGGGGAGGGGCCGTGTTTGACGGGTCGAAGCCCTCCCGGGAAGTCATGTCGGCCAGGACCTCGAGCCGGCCTGGTGGGGCTCCCTCAGCAGCAATGAGCTCATCCAGAGACGGTTGGGGGCGAGCCGGGGGGGCAACGCGTGGCGGCCTGGCTGGCGGGGATTCGCCCCCGCTGCTCGCCGAAGGGGAAATGATCGCCAGGTGGGCTCCTGAGTCGATCCGGCGGCGACGATAGCGGCGGTGTCGCCGTTGCCGTTGGCGACGGGCGGTCTTGGCGTTGTTCGGGTCCTGGCCCCTCACCGTCGATACGCGCCGCCAGTGCCAGGTCCGCTGCCAGAGCCGCCAACTCCGCCTCCAGGTCGTCGACGTCCATCGGGACTTCCTCGCTGTGCGCGTCGGCCCGCCCGTTCTCGTCATCGCGTGAGGGCAGCGGGGCGGGCAGGGGACGGGCGGCTGGGGCGCCTGGGGGGTCGTCATGGATCACGATCGGCGAGGCGGGGCCTCCATCAGCGTGGGCGTTTCTCGAGTCGCCGGCGTCGTTTGCCTCCACCCAGTCGTCGTGCGGCCGGTCAGCAGGCAGCATGGCGGCAAAGTGGCCGGGCATGTAGAGCACATGAATGGCAGGGCTGCCGGCGACTCGAAATTGTTGCTCTGGGTCGACGAACAGCCCGATTGCCACGGGGAGGGGGGCGGTCGTCTCTAAAGACATACTCTCATGTACCCGGCAAACCACGATGGTCGCCCCGACAACGTTGGCCACCGACTGCACCTCTATCTCGCTCAGGCCTCTTCCAAGCCGGACGCCTTCAATGTAGGCCTCGGTGCCGATCCCCTGAGGCTGGACGGCGGCAAATTCACGGAGGTGATGTGGATGACTCTAACGGACTCGACGAACCGAGCCGTACGGGCACT